ATAATTTTTGTTTCTGAAGAAAAATAAAATAAAGCAATAAAAATGCCCATTATTGAGGGAAATCCATTTTTTACTCCATAACAATTTTAGATTTTCAGTTTTTTCAAGAAAATAAATAAAAATATTTGATTCAACTAAACCAACCTTTATAGCTAAATATGTACAAATTAAATTTGCAGTTATTTACACACAAAACTAAAAAACTAAAAAAATGTACAAACCTTCCATATAAATTCTCCACTTGAACTAGACCTCGTATCCGATCCACTATCCCAATCCTGTTCATCATTATCATTACTTTCACTAAATGATGTCGACATCATTTGACTATCAGTTGGTCCACTAAATCTAATATCAGTTAAAACCCCAAAAATATCCTGTTCATCATCATCATTATTAATAATTAAATCGTTATTAACATAATCGGGACTACTACGTTCACTCGTATCCTCAATCATGATATTAATTTGTTTATTGTTGATAAAATCAGACGAATTTTTCGTATTTTCTAAATTCACTAGATTCACATAATCAGCCTCGTTGTAATAATCATCCAAATTCTCAACGTTTTCGTAATTATTTTCAGGAACATTGACATAGAGATTTTCTCCTCCTTTATCATTTTTATCAACCGTTTCGGGTGATGGTAATAACATTACCTTGTCGTAACTCAATAATGACGCAGGTAATTGTTTCCAAGGGTTATCCTCCGGTGATGGCAGTGGTGCCACCTGTTTATTAATAAAAACTGAAAGATGATCAGTTGATTCCGAATTTGATTCTTCGCTTGTTTTCGAACAATCGTGTTCTCTTTCACGTGCTAGAAACTCAATTGTGGAACGTTTAATTTCTGTTATTTCACTACTTTCTTTCACTGTATCACTAGCATCATTTGTTTTACACCCACTCGCCGAATTATCACTATCAAATTTCTCATTTAAGACTCCAACTTTTGAGTCATTGTTTACGTCATGAATCATCATGTTGTTTGCAACTTGTTGCACATTTTGTGATTCACATTCGGTGATTCGAGGGGTTGGGGAATTATTGTCCCTTTCTGAGTCATTAACACCAAATGTGAGTTCTTCTAAGTTGAAAAGTGTGTCATTTGAACAACACGAATCTTGACTTGGAGTGTGTCTATGGAGACGTTCGGGATGAATTGGACTTTCGAGAGTTTGGGTTTCCATTTCAGGGGGCAAAACCTCGCCTTCGCATTGGTCTGACCAGTCGCTGTCTTCGTCATCACTTTCCTCTTGTCTAAAAACAATAAAAATTAAAGTAAAAAAATATTTTTCCAGAGGAAAATTTCATATAAGAAAAAAAACTATCAAAAAATTTTGACATTTATTTGATATTTTTTTATATCTATTACTCATAATCTTGTTTTGTAATAAATATTTAGTAAAGGTACAAAAATTTTATCAATAAGTCAGCAAAATAAATATGAAAATTATTTTTCCAACAGAAATAAATAGTCAAAGTCCAAAATTTACACTTTACACCATAATTTTTAAATTTTTAATTTTTTCTGTATATTATCTTACATTTTTCTCTGAGGCGCGAGTTCTGAAACACCCTGTATTTTATAATCAAATAGGAAAAAATAAGTATTATTTCATTATGAGAAGACATCGCCTAATAGTTTCGAGTATAAATTTTTCATACTGGAAAGTACATTTTTTATTTAGAATATTTTTTAGAAAAATATTTATTATAATAATTATGTATAAWGCTTTTCTACAGATTTAATGGTTTTTTTTCGGACCTAAGTTAACTATTTACCTTATTTATTTGAGCATTTGTTTATGATGTTTTTGAATCTTTTTTTTAGTTTTTATAAACATTAAAATAAAAAAATATTTTGACAATAACAATTATTTCATTAATTACATTATGAGCAGAAAATTAAAACATCGCCTAATAGTTTCGAGTATAAATATTTCATATTGAAAAGTACATTTTTTTATTTAGAATATTTTTTAGCAGAATATTTATTATAATTYTATTACTTTTTTACATGAATTTTGCAAGGTTTTTTTGAGATTCAATGTTTCTCTCGGACCTTATTTATTTGAGCATGTGTTTATGATGTTTTTGAATCTTTTTTTCTTAGTTTTTATAAACATTAAAATAAAAAAAAAATATGTTTGACCAAACAAATATCTAATTTGGTAATTAAATAGGAAAAAACAGTTATTTCATTAATTACACTATGAGAAAAAAAAGAAAATCAAAAAATCATCTAATATTGTCGAGTTTAAATATTTCACATTGGAAAGTACAATTTTTTATTTAAAATATTTTTTTTTTGAAGAATATTTATTACCCGCACATGTCTCAAAAATTACCAATTCCATGATACACGGTGTTTCAAAATTCGCGCTCCAGAGAAAAATTCCAAGTAAGATAAAAATTCTGAGACATTTATTTGATATTTTTCATGTCTATTTAATGTTACTGATAAGATTGTTTTTTCGTAAATATTTAGTAAAGGCACAAAAATTTTGTCAATAAAAGCCACAGCAAAAAAACAGGAAAAATTATTTTTCCAATAAAAATTWATAGTCAAGTGCAAAATTTAAATTCCCGTAATTTCTAAATTTTTATAGACGATTCTTTTTACCTTTTTTTCCATATTCCTGATATATTACCTTACATTTTTCTCTGAGGCGCAAATTCTGAAACACCCTGTATTTTATAATCAAAAAAGGTAAAAATGAGTATTATTTCACTAATTACATTATMAGAAGACAACTAAAACATCGTCTAATAGTTTCGAGTACACTAAAAACTACATTTTTTTATTTAGAAAATTTTTTAGAAGAAAATTTATTATGACAATTATATTTCTTTTTTTATCAATTTTGCAACGTTTTTTGACATTTAATGTTTTTTTCGGATCTAATTTAACAACCTTGTTTATTTGAACATTTGTTTATGTTGTTTTTGAATCTTTTTTTCTTAGTTTTTATAAACAATAAAAAATATTTTTGACCAAACGAATATGTAACTAATTTTATAATTAAATAGGAAAAAATTACAATTATTTCATTAATGAAAGAAAATTAAAAGATTATCTAATATTGCCAAGTATAAATATTTCACATTAAAAAGTACAATTTTTTATTTAAAATATTTTTTAGAAGAATATAATTGCTTTGTCGCCACATGTCTCAAAAATGACACTTTTATGACTGAATGTCAGAAGTAAATGTTTTACCTTTGAGCCATAGAGTCAAAATTCTATTTTGCGCCTAAGCGTTTTTATTTTTACCCAATGTTATCTCTTTCTTGTCTCTTTCGCTGCCTCAGCAATTTCTCTTTTTAGAGAGGTACACTGTAGATCACTATTTTGCACTACTAACTGCACTAGTCATGTACTAGTTAAATTAATAAACACGAATATTTTAACACAAATTTCGATACTGACGCATAATGTTTATGATTTCATTACTTGTAAAGCGTCCTGATTATTTTTTTCATTTATTTGTTAATTTAAGTGTTGCTTTTTACTCTCGACCATTTTGCACTTTGACTATTTATTTCTGGTGGAAAAATAATTTTCCAAGTTTTTTTGCTACAGGCCATTAGAAGAGGAAACAAGGAAGCTGTATCCTAAATTGTAATTCTATGTTATTGTATTCTATGTTATTTGTGGCTTTTATTGGATTTTTTTTATCTTTACTAAATAATTATAAAAAAACACATACAATATTATCAGTATCATTAAATAAACATAAAAAAATGTCAAATGTCAAAAAATCAATGTCAAAATTTTTGACAGCCAGAGTTTTTTAAACATTTTTTCCGTGTTCTTGGTATCTTATCTTACTTGACATTTTTCTCTGGGGTCCGAAGTCTGATACATCCTGTATACTATCACTTATACACCTAATAACATAATATACTATTGCAATGTTTTTTTACAGATTCGATGTGTTTTCAGATTTTCGTTATTTGTTTAAACATTTGTTTATGATGTTTGACTAAACCAATATCCAATTTTATAGTGAAATAGGGGGAAAATGAGTTTCATTTCATTAACTTAATTATGAAAAAAAAATTACAGTTTTTTATTGATAATATTTTTTGTACGAATATCCCTTATAATATTACTTTTTTATTTTACATCTGTAATGCTTTGGTGTACGCATTTTAATGCTAATTTTGAGTCAATTTTGTTTTGAATTAAAAAATTCAACAATTCACACCGTTGAAAACTAGTTGATATGTTCAAAACTCATCTTTTATTTCTTCTTATTTTATTTTTTATAGCATGCAGTGTTTTGTTTCTAATTTTTTATGTAATTACCTTGGGGTATAGTTGGATGAATTATCATCAAGTAAACTTTCTTCCGGTATTGGTGATAACGGCGTGTTATAAACATTGTACCTAAGAAAAACTTCGTTTCTTTCGACAGAATCCCATTCTTCTTCATCCGGAACCACTCCATTTGATCCGCCCTAAACCACAAAAGTAAAAAAAAAAACGAAACAAAATCAAACTACTCACTTGTGCTTGTGGTAATTTATTTAAAAGCTCGGTACGAATCGCCGCCATAATTTCATCATCTACATTAAACCCAACATAACTATCAGTACCAGCCGTCGAAACCGTAATTTCCCCAGAAATATCACTAGATTGTGGATGAAGGAACCAACCACTCCCATTAGTGTCCCATGAACCGTTTTCTAAAACTCATTTTTTCCCAATCTTAAATAAAAAAAAAAACAAACTCACCTCCAACATTGACATCCGCTTCAATTTCCACATTAATATCATTAACATCAACCTCATTCTTCTCCTTCACAAAAGTCGCATCTTTCTCGACTTTGTATGTACAATCATTCTCGTCAATAAACAATAAACTCTGCGGCTCCGATGAGAAACTATCAAACAATTCATTTTCCTGAGATTCAGTTTGACTATCAAGTGTTTTTCCCAAAAAATTATCCCAAGTTTCTAACGAATACAGATTTGATGTTTCTGGAATTTTCTCCTTGTCCGAATCTTCAAACAAATTTAAGCTTGAAAAAGTGTCACGAACTGGTAATTCTGGTAAACTCTTTTTACCAAACGGTGTGCTTGTTAAAACACTCGAATGAGTTAAACTATTAGGCATTGCCTCGTCTTGACTATCGCTTAAATCGAATGCCACTTTCGTATTTATTTCTTTGGTTGTGTCTATTAATTCATTCGGTGTTTCAAGACTATCTAAACTGTCAGTCATTTTTCCAATACTCTCAGTTTCATATCTGGCGATTATGTAGTCCATTAAATCGTCGTTATCTTGTATCAAATCGACCAGTTTTGGCACTTGGTAAATTTTTCTTTCTTGCTTTTCGACATTTACTGTGATATGTTCGAGTTTCTCATCTTTTAGTGATTCAGTTGATTCAACTTTGTCTCCTTCCACTCCCGAATCGTACATTACTTCTAAAATATCATCGGTTTTCGTAAAATCCGAATTTTTGAGATAATCAACAAGTTCACTATTACTTCGAATAATATCGGCCAATTTCGGAACCTCAAACTCGTCTTTGAAATGTATAATCTCGTCCAGTTTCGAAGGATTCAATCGTACAGGACTGTAGTTATCTATGGTAACATTGAACACATTAAACACTTGATTAGCTGGTTTGATTTCACTAGTGTCATTTAACTCTTGCAAGATTCTTTTACTAGGAGAGTCTTCACTTAACTTATTTTGACTACTATTTTCAGGTACAAAAAGCAGACTATCTCTTCTTTCCTCCTGTAATTTCTTCAATTCTTCCTGAAACGTTTCTTGCACACTCAATAGATTACCTTCACTACCAAACATCAAACTACAACTTTCTAAATTTTGTTTAGGCGCATATCTAACATTTTTATAATTCGTTCTATAGTCTAAACTAGGCAAGGGGGTTTCAGATTCGGATTCCGATTGGTCGATATGTGTCAAAATCATGAGATCGGCCACTGAACGTGATTTTTGACGCACTTTTTCCGAATAAGCTCCACGTTCGATTTTCTTCTTCCAGTTTTCCTCTTCGGTTTCGCTACCACTACTAGGCCTTTCAAGTCCAAGCTTAAACTCGATTTTCGGACTCGATTCGGTACTAGTACTAGTTTCCAAAGCTATAGCATTATCTAAGTCTTTTATAGCATCAGAGAGTCCTTTCACATATGACATATCTCCAGTTCTAGTCGCCACATTCTCCAACCAAGACTCCATTTGTAAATCTAAATTATCAAGCGAACCGTGCAAATTATTTAAACTAGGTGATAAAGTTTTCGTGACAATTTCTGAATCGTCTAAATCCATTTCAGTATTATCAGTTTTGACAATATTGTTGGGTTTAAATGCCTCCCAACGTTTATCAAAATCATTTGGTTCCAATTTTGTGTTTTTGTAAACTTGAAGAAGATCACTTAACATTAAATCGATTTGTGACATTGCTGGACGTGATTCGCTATTAGTCCAACAAAGTTGCATCAACCGGAAACTAGAAAAAATCGTAAAAACAACACTTTATAGTCCGGTCAAAATAGACATTTGAAATAACTAAAATTCCGACAGAGCTAAATTTTGGTGGAGATCTTGGGTACACCATTAGGAATAAAGTGTCAAAAGTCCCCATCGATCCCATGTGTGTTAAAAAAGTTATTCGGGGCCAAAGGTCAAAATTTTGCCGTTTTTTAGTTTTTTTTCGAAAACGGCAAGTTTTATCAAAAAAGTAGCCCAGACAAAAATTATAGATCTTAAAATCATCTACAAAATGGTCCTTATACTTCTTTTCTAAGAATCACCATTCCTGAAATATCGCGATTCGAAAAGTTGAAGGTCACGTTCTACATACAGAGTGCGCTAGAACTCCCGCTTCAACATGGAATAAATTTAAAAAAAAATCTATCTAACTTTTTGTACCTTTAATAAATAAAAAAACATATACAAGATCATCAGTATCATTAAATAGATATAAAAAAATGTCAAATGTCAAAAAATAAATGTCAAAATTATTTGACAGATAGAATTTTTTTAAACATTTTTTTATGTTCCTGGTATCTTAACTTACTTAAAATTTTTCTTCTACTTCATTAAACTTATAAATATCTTGATTCCATTAGAATTAAAAAGAATTTATTTGGTAATACATACAGGGTGTTTAAAAAATCGCGCACTTCCTTGAAAGGGAGTAATTGGGTAGTCCCCAGAGCACTGAAAAATGTTTAAAAAATTCTATCTGTCAAAAATTTTTGACATTTGACATTTTTTTATGTCTATTTAATAATACTGATGAGCTTGTATATGTTTTTTTTATTATTATTTAGTAAAGGTACAAAAATTTTTTCAATAAAAGCCACAAATAACATTAAACAGAGTTACAGTTTAGGATACAGCTTCCTTGTTTCCGCTTCTAATAGCCTGTAGCAAAAAAACTTGGAAAATTATTTTTCCTACAGAAATAGAGTCAAAGTGCAAAATTTAAACTCTCATAACTTTGAAATTTTTATAGATAGAATTTTTTTTAAATTTATTCCATGTTTGTGGTACCTTACCCTACATGGCATTTGTCAACAATCTGACCCAAAAAAACAAAATTTTTAAATAATACAAGCCAAAAGGTAATCTCTATCCAACAATAAGTATCAAAAAATCATTTTTTTTTAAATGACCAAGAATTTGAATAGAATTGTTTAGAACTGTTATAATTATTTGGAATTACTGGAATTATTTTGAATGATTTAAAAAAAAATAACAAAAAATATACAGAGTGTTTTTTAATACCTATTGCAAAAAATTGCAACAACTTATTTTACATCGAAAGATAACACTAATTTTCAAATGAACAATAGTTCTACAAAGCCTCGATCCGGATATACAGAGTGATAAAGAATTTTTAACAATCTGACCAAAAAAAAAAACAAAAAAGTCGAAAAATAATCTCTATCTAACACTAAGTACTAAAAAATTAAGATTTTCTCTAAAAAAGACCAAGAATTTAAACGGAATTGTTTAGAATTGTAATAATTATTTGGAATTACTGGAATTATTTTAAATGATTTAAAAAATAAAAAAATATATACAGGGTGTTTTCTTGATATTGCAAAAAATTGCAACAACTTATTTTACATCGAAAAATAACACTAATTGTCAAATGAACAATAGTTCTACAAAGCCTCGTTACGGATATACAGAGTAATAAAGAATTTTTCACAATCTGATCTGACAAAACAAAATTTTTAAATAATCCAAGCCAAAAGGTAATCTTTATCTAACATAAGGACCAAAAAATTAACATTTTCTTAAAAAAATGACCAAGAATCTGATCATAATTGTTTAGAATTGTTATAATTATTTGGAATTACTAGAATTATTTTGAATAATTTTTAAAAAATAATAAAAAATATACAAGGTGTTTTCTTAATGTTGCAAAAAATTGCAACCACATACTCTACATCGAAAATAACACTAATTGTCAAATGAACAATGGTTCTACAAAGCCTCGTTACGGATACACAGTGATAAAAAAATTAACAATCTGATTCAAAAAAACAACATTTTTTAATAATCTAAGCCAAAAGGTAATATCTCTCTAACTATAAGTACCAAAAAATTAATTTTTTTTTTAAATAATCAAAAATTTGATCGGAATTGTTTAGAATTATCATAATAATTTGAAATTACTAAAATTATTTCGAATGATTTAAAAGAAATAATAAAAAATATACACGGTGTTTTCTTAATATTACAAAAAATTGCAAAATAAACAATTGTCTTATTGCGGATATCAGATTGATAAAATTTCATAATAAAAATTAAAATTTATTAGTACCTCCGAAACCACTTGATTTGCCAATTTTTTCGACAATTACTTTATTTTTACTCTTGAATTTTTTAATTTATTGCTTTCAATTTTTTATTAGTGTTGTTTTTCAATATTTAGAAAACACTCAGTATTACCATACTCATAATTCTGTGTTCTTTATCTTAGCAGTAATATCAGCAAATACCATAATAGTGCAAAAAATTTAATTAAATTTTTGGCATAAAGCATTTGAAAATTACGATAATTTTTAAAGCCAATTAATTTTTTTACGATTACAACAGAAAGTAAGTTTTTCTACCCTAATTTCTGAAAAGAAAGTGGCCAATTATCTCCCAGAGATGTAAAACTTTTAGCTCTTTGGGAAGTAAAAATTTTCATTCCTCATTTGCCAAAATTACATTAAAAATATATCTTTTCAAGAAGAAAAAAACATACTGATAGATTTAATGGCTAAACTGGAATATCAAAAAAAATTGTTATTTTTGAAAATTTTCTACTTTTTTGATAAAACTTGCCGTTTTCGAAAAAAATCTAAAAACGTCAAATTTTGACGCTTGACTTTGAATAACTTTTTTAGCACACATGGGATCGATGGGGACTTTTGACACTTTATTTCTAATGGTGCACCCAAGGTCTCCACCAAAATTTAGCTATTATTTGTATTTTTACTCACATGTAATCATTGTACAACATTTGAAACTTAGGCCGACTTAATCGAACTTTCTGTGACCCCAAAACTTGTGAAATAACTTCATCATCAGTCAAAGAAAAATACGGTTGTTCACCACATTCACAAATTTCCCACATTGTTACACCAAATGACCAAATATTAGCTTCAAGTGTTACTTTCTTAGGTTCGATTGTTGTACTAGTGTAAGATAATGTTTCAGGTGCACACCATCTTACTGAAACACCCACCGCACCCAAATAATAATCTTCAGGATACTGAAAAACACCTAAACCGTAATCACCCAATTTCAGCGTTAAATTTGACGTCAATTGGCAATTTCTTGCCGCCAAATCCCTAAAAAAACACTAATAAACACCAAAAACCACCAATTTTACGTTTATTTACGGATGACTCAGTCTATTTTCATGGAGGAATTTTAAAGCCGAACTAAGTTGGCAACACCAAACTAAAGGATATTCCGTTGATAATAATTTCTCAGCGTTTGATTTATTTTGTCGAAGGTAATTTTTAAGATCACCCTGTGGACAAAATTCTTGTAGTAGTAAAAGTGGAACTGTATCCAAACATCTTCCAATTAATTTCAAAATATTTGGATGTGGACCACATCGATAAATGGATGCATCGTGTAAAAATACGACTCGTTCACGTTTCGAAGCTGTAGCTTCTAAAATACGAACAACTACAGGTGTCCATTTTTGTTCACTATCTTGGGCTGCACCTTCAACGACCTAAAATTAATTTCAAGTGAAATCTTGCCAAAAATTTCATTAGAAAACGTACTCTTCCAAACCATCCTTTGCCAATTTCTTTTATGTACTTTAGTTTAATTCGCGGAAAATCAGTTTCAGTGCCATCTAAAAAAAACATTGATTATTTTTTACCTACAATAATAATCAAACGACTTACTGAACCACGAACTAACATCAACATCTCCGAAAACGTAGTCCTCCTGAGTACGAGTCTAAAATTACAATTAAATAGTAGATTACAAAATAAAGTTTGTACAGGGTGTTCCGTTTTTATTGTTACAAATTTAAACAGGTGATAGTATATTCAATTCTAAGACAAAAGTTTCCTATAAACATGTATCGAAAAATGCTTGGTAAGGGAGCTACACCCCCTGAAAGGGGGCTAATAGGTTTTTGCTAATATTTCTGAAACCATTTAAGATAAAATTACAAAAATTTCGTACAGATGATAATCTTTATACACCTAAACGAATTCAAACATCAAATGTCGAAATTTTTAATCAGAGGCGTCCGAAACTGGTGGGGTTTAGGGTAAAAAAATACCCTATCTATTTGGCTTTAGTTATGCATTGAGCAAAATGGTGGTCACTTTGAACAACTCCTTTAGATTTAGGCAAATTCATTTAATTAATGTTATTATTGTTACTGTAATGTAATGTTAATTAGTTGAGGTTGATTAAAAAGTATAAATTTCTTACTTTTATTATTCTGTAAATCCTAATTTATTTGAATGTTGTATCGGTGTGTAATATAAATTTTAAATTAATTTTATTCAAAAACAATAAGTCGTATCGACTGTGATAAACTATCGAACTTAAGATTTTGTTGCTGAAAGTACCGAGAAACTAAAGTCAAAATAAATAGGGTATTTTTTTACCTTAAACTCCCTTAGTTTCGTACGCCCCTGATTAAAAATTTCGACATTTGATATTTGAATTCGTTTAGGTGTATAAAGATTATCAAATTTTGTAATTTTATCTTAAATGGTTTCTGAAATATTAGCAAAAACATATTAGCCCCCTTTCAGGGGGTGTAGCTCCCTTACCAAGAATTTTTCGATACATCTTTATAGGAAACTTTTGTCTTAGAATTGAATATCCTATCACCTGTTTAAATTTGTAACAATAAAAACGGAACACCCTGAATACAATTTTATTCACAATCACATTTCTGTATATAATAAAAAGCAATTTGGCTATAAATTATTTGCCGACCCCGGGATGTAATGACAAATTTCCCGACCTCCGGTTAGTAATCGTCATATTACTAGTGATTGTGAATAAAATCATTATGATAAAATGACGTACAATTATTTGTTGATTGGCAAGAAATACGTTATTGTTTTGATGTGGGGGCGACAGAGGGGTGAATATTGTAAATTCACCATTAGCAACGGGATTAACATGACCATGATCTAAATTCGAAGCTGTTGAAGCCACAACAGGACTATCCCGGAATTCCTGCAACACAAAAGAAAGTTATTTTATAGTAAAATTAACCACAAAATTAGAATCATTTCACTTCAAGAATGTGAATAATTTACCTTGAAATGAAAATAAATAGACTGTAACAATGTACGTATAATTAAATTAAAAACATCAATTGGCTTTTGTCGAAAATATCGAAAAACAATATTTAGTTATCTGTTGAAAAAACTGTAAACAGATTAGCATATGATTTCATCACGTCATGTTTCATTTATTTTGTGTATAAACATGCAAGTAAACTTGAAATTACTTTATGTACAATATATTTTCAAATGTTTACTTTAGAGAATGAGTCTGAAGTTAAATTATGACCTAACCCTAACAAACCACAAATTTTATCTACCAAACCATAACATGCATCACAACCATTACCTTTACCTTTTCCTCATCCTATATCGTAAGCACAAAAAAAAAAGAAAGTAAATGTTAAAGTGAAGAAAGCATGAACAAATTGTTTCAATATTTTACCGTTTCAAAAATAAATCAAAATTAATGTTCCATTTTAAATATGAAAGGCAGATATGGACATATACAGAGTGTTTTCTCCATTCATAACAAAGCAATGAACCCATGATTTAATCGACATTTGTAAATATTTTTTATTTTATTTTTATTATAAGCATGTAATAGACAAAATTTTGTAATTTCAAAACCACTCTGTATATTATTTTTTACAACCTATAAAAAAAATCTTTTTCCTAACTCCAGAATACCTTCAAACAACTTTAAATAATTATTTTACAAACTTTTTTATCACAAACATAAGTTATTATAAATTCTATCATACACCTGGTAGAATTTCATTATTGTTAAAGTATGTTAGAAAGTGTAAAATCCTAAATTTAATATTCTGCGAAATTAGAATCATAATTATATTTCTTCGACCTTGTATTTAAATTTAAGAGTACACATACAGGGTGCGCCAAAGAAAAATGCCATATAAGGTAAGATACCAGGAACGTAAAAAAAAATTATCTATAAAAATTTCGAAGTTATGAGAGTTTAAATTTTGCACTTTGACTTTATTTACTTCTGTTGGAAAAATAATTTTCCACGTTTTTTTTTGTACAGGCTATTAGAAGAGGAAACAAGGAAGCTGTATCCTAAATTGTAATTGTAAATTTTTGTCTCTTTACTAAATAATTATAGAAAAACATATATAAGATAATCAGTATAATTAAATAGACATAAAAAAATGTCAAATGTCAAAAAATAAATGTCAAAATTATTTGACAAATAATTTTTTTTAAACGTTTCTGGTATCTTATCTTACTTGAAATTTTTCTTCATAGAAACAGAAAAAAAGATTAAAAATGCTCACTATGGGAAATATTTGATCAAAATTTTTACAATATTTTTATGATTATCACATTTCTCAAAAATCAAACTTTTTAACTTCGTTTCAAGCTTTTACTTAATTTTACCAAATCACTGGACTTAATTTGAAATAAGTAATAAACAAAATTTTACAGTGTTATTTCAAAACCACTCTGTATATTACTTTTTACAACAATAAAAAAAAGAAATGCTTTTTCCACACACTAATATGAGATCATCCATTTTCAAACTTTTCTTACTTATCACAAACATAAGTTATTATTATAAATTCTATCATACACCCGGTATAAATTCATTGTTAAAGTATGTTAGAAAGTGTTAAATCGTAAAAAAACATGAATTTAATATTCTGCGAAATTATTAATCATAATTATTCGATTGTTGTAATTAACTTTATCCTCAATTTTCAATTTTACAACCCAAATATCATGACATTTGCGGATACTACACTTAAAAAATGCCAAGGAAAAATAGTTTTCCCTTGTGTGAAATGTGAAATGTTTTGGTTGGCATTTTTAAATAACATTTAACTTTAAAAAATGATAAAATATTAAAAAAAACTCCTTGTATTTATGCAAACACAAAGTGTTTTTAATATCGATTTGCATGCACATTATTAAATCTCTCACGCTTTGCGGTTAATATGAAATCTAGTAAAATTTTAACCTTTTAACTAAAGAAGTGTAAACTGATAAACACTATTTCCGGTATTTATTTTTGTAAAAAAAGTATTTTATAGTATAAACACAACATGTAAATGTTTCCGGTTTTGTGTTTAGATACACAATTGCAAATTTTATTTGTCATATTTTGAAAATTTGTATACAGGTGTTTTCTAATTATTGCGAAAAATTATAACCACCTAGTCTACATCGAAAAATAACACTAAATTGTCCTATAAAGTTTTGTTACGAATATAATAAAGTAATAAAGTTTCATGATAAAAATTAACCATTGAAAGTGTTTATTCTTTAATTTGTTATTTTTCCATGTAATGTTCAAAAAACACCCTGTATATTCTTCGTGTAATTTTTGAAGCACTCTTTTTTATTATTATATATTAATGATTTCGCCATCACGCACATCCTATAACAAACTGACGGAAAGAACACGCCCGTCACATCAATTTTACTTAAACTTTGACAGCATTAAGAGATATAAGAACTGACACTGCCATTTACTAAATAGAGACAAAATTGTAGGATGAAAAACTTGGTAAATAACGCAATGTGACCTAAACAAACTTTTTTCCTGATATTCTGAATTTACTTTCCTTTTCCTGCTAAACAGAATGAGTCATCCTATTCTTTTGTAATCAACGTAAGACGTATTTACAATCATTAATTATGTCTAATTGATTCAAATTGAACATCGTCCAAATGAAAGCTAAGTATAAGTTATGCAGTTTTTGTAAATTTAATGCCATTCAATGCCATGTAAAGTAAGATACCAGGAACATGGAAAAAATGTTTAAAAAAACTCTATTTACGAGTGAAGTTATAAGAGTTTAAATTTTGCACTTTGATTATTTAGTTCTGTTGGAAAAATAATTTTACAAGTTTTTTTTACTACAGACTATTAGAAGAGGAAACAAGGAAGCTGTATCCTAAATTGTAACTCTGTTATTTGTGGCTTTTATTATCAAATTTTTTGTACCTTTACTAAATAATTATAAAAAATAATAATAAAAAAATGTATAGGACATTGATAGATACTAATCTATCCATACAGCATGTCCCAAAAATAAGTTGGGATACAAACTTGTATTTTTTTAAATGAAACATCCTATGTTTCTTGCCATTTTTGGATGTAGCCTTTTAAAACATTGTTTTTACGCTAAACTTTTATTAGTCGATTTCGCTTAGTTTTAGAAATAAGGTTTTTTTGACAAAAACATGCACTTTTTAAAAAATTATTACACAAAATCTAAGACAGCTAGAACAATTTTTTTCTTACTTCTGCAAAGAAAAAAGTACAGAATCTAAAGCTGTAACAATTTTTTGGTGTTTTGCATTTGTAAAGATTAATAAATTAAGAAGTTTGTTAAAAATAATTTTAAAATTTTTAATGGAACAACCTTTTTTTATTTTTGCATCAAATAGATTGATAAATTGTCTATCTAAAAAATAAACTTTCATTGTCTAGATTTGATAAATGAAAAGATATTTAACATTCAATGTTAACTGTAGCAACAATGCCTATCAATATCTTAGCACTGTTTATCTGGAGATTGTAAAAGTCGACATAAATACTGAAATTCAAATTATTTTTTTATAAAAATAAAGAATAATGGATTTAGTTTAATATAAATGTGATTATTAAGTGATATTTCTTTCATCTCTTGTGCAACTGTGCACTTTTTGGCTACTGAAATAATAGTAATTGTTTTTTTTTTAATGTTTAAAGTTAAATATCTTTTTAGTTATTGATTATAAACACCTAAAAGTAAATAATTTTAGAAAGACAACTTAATAATCTCTTAAATGCAAAAACAATAAATGGGGTGTTCCATTAAATTTTTTTTATTGTTATTGAACTTTTAACAAACGCCTTCATTTTTTTATCTTTGCAAATGCAATACACTAAAAAAATGTTACAAACTTATAGCTTGAACCTTCTTCTTTGCGATAGTAAAAAATCTTTTTCTAGATGTCTTAGTTTTTGTGTAATAAGTTTTTAAAAAGTGCATTTTTCGTCAAAAAAACGTCTTATTTTTAAAACTAAGCAAAATCGACCAATAAAAGTTGTCATAAAAATCTACATCCAAAAACGCTAAGAAACGTATGGTGTTCCATTTAAAAAAACACTAGTTTGTATTGTAACTTATTTTTAGGACACGCTGTATAGTTGAAAATAATTTTAGGCGATCGACTAGATTAGTATCTATCAATGTTCTATATATTTTTTTTTTACTTTTACCATTTAAAGGTCACTAATGGACTTTTTCAACTTGCTGGGACCACCCTGTATATAGCCCAAAATGTACTGACTTCTAGAAAAATTCTAAAATTGTCAGCTCATACTATATTAAAAGTCATTTAAAAAATCAAGACGGTTACTCCAGTGCTAATAAGAATTAAAAGAAAATAATATAAATAAATATAAATAATATAAAATATTTCTAGATGTCTTAGTTTTTGTGTAATAAATTTTTAAAAAGTGTATTTTTCGTCAAAAAACCGTCTTATTTTTAAAACTAAGTAAAATCGACCAATAAAAGTTTCGGTTAAAAACATTGTCATAAAAATTTACATCCAAAAACGCTAAGAAACATATGGTGTTTCAAGTTTGTATTGTAACTTATTTTTGAGACCCGCTGTATGGTTGGAAATAATTTTAAGCGATGGACTAGATTAGCATTTATCAATTTCCTATATACATACATGTTTTAAAAGTCAACATTGGACTTTACTCGTTAAAACACTCTGTATATATATTTTTTAATTTTGCAATTTAAAGATCACTAATGGACTTTTTCAACTCGCTGGGACACTCTGTATATTGTAATAGTATACGCACTCATAAAAAAAGAATAACAATGCCAAAAAATGTCATTCGACACAATATTTTTATCCCCATTGTATAAAACTTACAACTGTACTTGTTTTTGAAAATAAAGATACTATTTTCATATC